GATAAAGCCTGCTTGACATTCCCAACCCACTGAGTCACCCGGGGCTGTGCCCAGCCATTCGCCCAGGAGAGGCGCCCAAGCCCTGGCCTCAGCAAAGCCAGTGGTAACCAGCCTGGAGGTGGACAGAGAGATTCACGGTCTCACACGTTTTGCTGGCGTGGTGGCCAGAGCTGCAGCTGCGTGGTTTTAGCCAGCAAATGCTGGCAGCAAATATGGATGTCAGTGTTTGAAGAGGGGGGTCAATGGGACAAAAGGGTGTCGGTGTTTTTTCCAGCGTAGATTATTTGGCTTTGGGTACTCATAAAAGTCACACTCATAAAAGGCCCCTTTTGTGTATCTGCAATGGGCGCATTTGCTGGCACTGCCAGATCACCCATCAGTAAATTTTAAGGGCAGATGAGGCTATTGGCGAGGAGGGAGAGGCAGCACCACAGCTGCTGGGGGTGCAGCGAAGGAGTAGGCTTTGCGTGGCAGGGATTAGCGCTGACGCCCCTGTGAAATACTAAAAGCGCCTCAAAGAAAAGGGCCTGTTGCCTGTGCTGGGCCCAGGGTCACATGTCGCTGCCCGAAAGCAGCTCTGTGAGCCTGCCAGGACAGAGTGCCCGCCGGGAGTGCTGAGCCGGGCTCAAAGGCAGCCCATCCCGCTGGCAGGTCTGCAGGCTTTTCCACCACCCCGAGCCCGCCGCGTGCTCTGCCCTGGTCGCAGGAAACCTGAGTGCCACCCTTTCCCACAGCCACTGCTGGGCCTCCAGTCCCACTCACACTCATGGGACATACCAGGCTGTCCACAGGATGGCTCTGGTCCAGGCTGTAGGGCCGCCTCTGCAGGACATTGGGATCCCATTGTCCACGGGGGATCCACGAGGCAGAGGAGGGCCCGTGCCACGCTCTGCCTGAAAAACTCTTTCCATAGGCCAGGGAAGCTCCTGTGGTGAGGGCAGACTCTGCCCCTTCACAGGAGGACGCGTGGGAGCTGTTTTGTACAGCATGAGCATAGCCAATGCCTCTGGAGCTGAGGGACTTTGTCCCTCCTGTCGTCTGTCAGCTCAAGAGCCCCCAGGGCCTCCAACCCGCTGTGCTCTCTGCCAAGGGCATGGGGTGTGTGTTCATCAGAGAAGGTGGCTGCAGCCACCAGCTCTCTGCTCCTCCTGCAGACAGAGAAGCCGCCGGTAGCCCTGAGCCTGTCCCAGGACGGGGACAAGGACAGGGACAGACACAGGCCGGTCACCCTTTTACCACCCCTGCCTCTGGGATGGCCTCAGGAGTGGGAAGCGGGACACAAAGGGGAGAGAAGAGCTCAGCGTCCGGGTGCACACCCCGGCCTCTGCTCCTAGCCCGTGAGGGGGTTTCTCAAGCCACATGAAAGGGAGGAGAGGAGATGCTGGGCATTTCCCCCCTCCTGAGGACTGGTGCTTTTGGTGGAGCAGGAAAAGGGAGGGCAGCCTTTCCACCTCCCTTTGCAGCAGGGCTGTACAGGCACTGGGCAAGCTTGGATGAGGGGAGTGAGTCCTGTCCACGAGCCAGCCCCAAAGTTTCAGGCTTCCCTAGTGCTTGGGATGTTCCTCACCTGCTGATTGCAAGGGGAAGTCCTCTGACACCAGCGCTTTGGGATTTTGTAATCTTGCTTCAGCCTGGCTCTGTGACTTTCCCTTGATGTCTCTGTCCTGGCCGTCTCACCCACCTGGAAAGCGATTTCCCCTGCTGATGTCTCCCCACTTGCAGGCTCCCCTGCCACTCGCTTGCACCTCAGCCCTGGCTGGGGAAGGGGTTTCCTCTCAGCTTCGCTTCTGATCCCTGCTCAGTAAATTCCCCCTCTCCCTGCTCTGCCGTCTCAGTGTGGTTGGGGGCATGACACAAAATATTACACAGCAGTGGGGAAGTCCAGAGGGCTCAACATGTCCTAAGGCCAGATACGTCTCTTCTGCAGGACTGCGGAGGCCTTCCCCGAAGCTGAAGGTGCTTCCCATGGGGAGTTTTCCAGGGATGGGACCAAGGATGCGGGGGCTGATGTGATCCCACAGGCAGATCACCAGGCTGGGGATGGATTTAAAAACATGAAGCAGCAGTAGCTGGGATCTGAAATCAGCAGGCAGGCCCCTCAGCCAGGATCAATCTGGATCTGTCCGCTCCCGGTGAACTCAAGCTTTCCAAGTGGCAGCTCCAATCACTGTAATTCTGAAAGATTGCAAGGGCCGGGGGAGGAAACATCTCCTCTACTTTTCTTCTATTTTTACGAGCATATGATAGCACTTTGATATGAAATTACGTGTTTTGCTGTATCCCTCAGTATTTATGG